GCGGCCGCCCGTCCGAGGTGAACGGGGGCGCAGAAGTCGCGCAGTCATCAGTTGTGGGTGTTTCGAGGCTAATCACCCCACGGGAGGGGCTTTTAACAACGGGGTGAAAATCGGCGTGAAGCCATTCTCGAGGAAATTTTAGATTGGGACGAAATTTCTTTTCGTGGAAAGTGAAGCGCGTTCCTCGCTGCACTTTTTCAACCCTTGAAAAAAGAAAAGGTTGAGAGAAGGGGTTTCTTTGCGGCCGAGGAAGGGGTCTCACTGTAAATAATTCCTTTGTACAGTGAAATTTACATTCTCTGGAAAATTCGGTGGGGGCGAAAAGACACAAAAGGAAGGGAGGAAAGGATTAAGGGATTTGTTTCAATGACTCGGTATTAAAATTCAAGTAGCTAGTTTAATCGAATTCGCTTTGATTAGAATTCTTCTTTCGTTGCTTGAGAGGATTATTCAATAGTTGGAAGATTTCTTTCTTTTTTTTTCTTTTTTTTTTTTTAAATGGGAATACGTATTTTTCCAAAATTTCCCTCGAATCGAAAGAGAATACGGAATCTTCTTAATTTTTCTTTTTTTTTTTTTTTTTACTCGATGTTAAATAACTGGATCTTCGTGACTAACGAGCGTGATGATCGAGGAAAGATAGGGAAGTATCGAGACGAAATTGCAGGCGCCACTGAATGACTCGGTGGAAACCGTCGTCCGGATACAAAGGATGCCGCTAAAGATCCTAAAAATCGAGTCTCCTACCCCTTTCCTTTCTTTTTTCCCCTCTCCATCGAATTCATCGAAATTTTTAATTTTCCAACATTTTTTTTTCTTTCCTCGCCCTTTTTAAAATATCCAAATAAATCGTTGAATTCTCTCGAAACGAAGTAAAGCTGAAGTGAAGGATCTTTCCAAAAGTCGAAATTATTACTCGCTCGTTCTCGATGAAAAAAATCCTCCCAAGAGATTTTTTCCTTTTTTCCAAAGGATCATCGTTCACGCCAATACCTTTCGACGTTTGCAAGGGAAGGGAGGAAACATGACTTTCGAAACGTTCTCCGCGATCCTTGCGTTTAACCACGTAAACAGCCCCTTTGTTGGCCGCCGCGATTTCCATTTACGAATTCGACACGGCCTGTCACGAAAACATTTTTGCCGCCGCGCCACTACATTTCGCCCAAACCCGGAGGAGGAGGGGCACCGCATCCTTGGATTGACACGCACCGAGGAGTAATCGATCTCGATCTCGATTTCCTCCGACTCGCTCGTGTGTAAAACCAGCTATCGATCCGCGCGTTTCTTCCCGTTGCATGGCAATCTCGATTGACGAAGAACAAGGATTCTCTGTTTGTTACGCAAGATGCTCCTAATAATCATTAATTGGGAAGAGTTTTTTTTTTAAATTGCGAAAACCGATTTCGAAGGAAGGAAATTCAATCCCTTCGAGAGAATGGAATCTCAATTTTCTCAGGACGAGACAAGCTCTTCTTCGATACCCAATTTCGAGCGAAGTGATCAAATTTCACGCGCGATTTCACTCAAAGGAAAAGAAAAACGAAGAAATTTTTTTATTCTTATTTTTCAAGAATTTTAAAGAATAAAATTCGAGAAGATATTATTATTATTATTCGATCAATATCGTGTCGTTGCAGGGATTGATCGCGAGGAGGTTGTTTATAATTTCTCCAAGATTATATCTCCATCCCCCTGTTTTCATTGGGCAGTGATAGATAGTCGTGATCTGTGAAACGGATCACAAGTTTCCTCGATCGTGTCGATCCTACCTTCTGTTCTGGTACCACGTCTTCACTTGGGTGTCGGTCAGTTGCAACTTGGCCGCGAGCTCCATCCTGTCCTGCACGCTCAGATATTTCTGCCGCTCGAAACTCTTCTCGAGGGTCTGAAGCTGATGATCCGTGAAAGCCGTGCGCGCCTTCCTCTGCTTCTTGCTCTGCGCCGAGCTCAGCGTGCTCGACGAGGAACTCTTTGGATCGTCCTCCTTGCCACCTGGAAAATATCGCAAATGTTCCATTAAATCTCGCATTATTTCGCGACATTGAATTCGCGTGATAGCAATATTTTACATATATTCTCTTGAACCCATTATTCCAATTAAACACGGTTTAACGAATTGGAACGTTTAATCGAATTGAATTCGATCTTTATTTTTTCGATCTTTCGCGAGAAAAAGGGGAAAAAGGACAGGCCTTCCCTCCTTTTATTTTAAGATAGAAATATCGTCCCGATTAATCGAATTCAATTTGTTATAATATAAAGAAAAACTTTCATCTTTCGTTCGAAAGATTTCGTAATCGTTCAAATCTTTTTAAGTCGGGACGAAGGAAAAAAATATAGGAAAACACGGTGGCGGAGGAAAAGGGCAGA